CATCTCAGACAATTTTTTTTTTCCAGCCTTCAAAAAAAGGCAGTTTTACCTTCCTTTTCTTACCGAAAATCGACTGCTCCAAAATTGTCTCGGAAAACACTTTTTCTCAGCTTAATTTGGTGCGAGAATCCAAAACGAGTTCGTACTTTTTTCATCAGACCTCTCAATTCAAAAGTTATGGACTAAATAAAATTTTGACTATATATATATAAATAAAGTTCAAAGGGCTGTAACTTTTGATCTAGTAGTCCATCGTGGAACTGTTTGAAATATGGTTCTACGCGGCCAACACTCTATAAGAAAATGTTTTTTCCGTCGATCTCAGACAATTTTTTTTTTTCCAGCCTCAAAAAAGGCAGTTAATTTACCTTTCCTTTTTTACCGAAAATCGACGCCCAAATTTCGCGGAAAACACTTTCTTCACTAATTTGGTGCGTAGAATCCAAACGATCGTACTTTCAACAGACCTCTCCAATCAAAGTTATGGACTAAATAAAAATTCGACCTAATATATATATATATATATATCCTTGATACGTATGAAGCACTTTAATGTGTCAAACAATAATTATTGCATTTGTATATTGGAAATGCATTATCTGGAACGATGAAAAATAATATACACCTCAGGCATTAGTCTGCCTTAATGCCTTTGATACCTAGAAGGTTGACAACCACTGGGCTACACAAAATTCAGAAACTGTAGAATCTGTTAAAAATATACAAGCTGTAGGTACGAACTGTTCGAGCTGTAAAAGCTGTACTTGATTAAGAAACAATCAACTGATACCCAAATGTATCCTTCTTCCTTAGGGGTTCTCGATCAATGACTGCGCAACGCATCAGTCACTACCTCAATCTGAGAGGGCCTTCGAAAACTGTTGACACGGCGTGCAGCAGCTCACTTTACGCTTTGGAACACGCGTACCGAGCCATTCGGACTGGTCGATGCAACAGCGCATTGGTTGGTGGGGTCAGCCTGTGCCTAAATCCCATAACGTCCCTGCAGTTTGCTCGGTACGCGATGGAGGATGTGAAAGGGTCTGGTAATAGCGCTGTTACAGGTTAGGTGTTCTGAGTCCGGAAGGGATGTGTAGGCCATTTGATGAAGACGCCAATGGTTACTCACGCTCCGAGACCGTTTCCGTTGTCTTTCTGCAGAAGGCTAAGGATGCTCGTCGCATTTACGCACAGGTAACAACTCCGTTTAGTCAGCTCGGGTCTAGTTCTCTCTTGCAGTTGCTGCACACAAAAACAAACAGCGACGGTTACAAAGAGCAAGGGATAACGTTCCCATCGAGCGAAATGCAAAAGCTCCTCCTAGACGACACGTATGAGGAATGCCGGCTGGATCCCACTGTAATCGACTTCGTCGAAGCGCACGCCACCGGTACCAAGGTCGGCGATCCCGAAGAAATGTCCGCGCTGGAGCAAGTCTTCTGCACCAACCGCGACGCACCACTGTTCACCGGCTCCATCAAGTCCTACCTGGGTCACGCGGAGGGCGCCAGTGGAATGTGCTCGCTGGTCAAGGTTCTGCTCGAAATGGAGGACGACTGCATTTATCCAAACATCCACTACGTCAAACCGCGGCAGAGCATTAAGGGCTTGATCGAGGGCAAAGTGGTGGTCCCTTTAGAACAAATTCCGTGGCCAGAAAACGGCTCGGGGGTGGTTGCGATTAACTGCTTCGGCTTTGGCGGGTCTAATGCGCACCTTATCCTCAAGAGGTTCGAGCAACGAAAGGTTAATGGAGGACTGCCCGAAGATGACTTACCGCGACTGATGTGCGTAAGTGGACGCGTGTCGGAGTCGCTGAAAACCATCTTTGATGACCTTGGTGGACGTAAACTGGACGCTGAGTATTGCAGGTTACTTCAAGCGGCATTCAAGTAAGTACCCTCCCCAATTTCCTCTAATACCGCTTCAATTCGCCTTGTGAATAAAGTTAGTAGTTGGATGAGGATCATTAAAATGTAAGAGTGAAGGGTAGAGGATTCTTCTCTGGTCCTTCAAAAAACACGTCTTTGCTACCTGTGGACGCTGCAGGTATATTTCCCTTAGGGAGCCAAAACGAAGCTTAAACAATACAATGGCCTAAGAAATATTCAGCAGGAAGTTCCGCCCTTGGTCGGAGTGAAATTCTAATGGGAGTGCAAATCTGCTTCTTGATTTGAAACGGCATAAGCTTCTGTTCATTTTGAAAAATAGTCCATCGCTACCAAGAAGTATTGGGCCCATTGTCTGTTTCTGGAAACGGATCTGCAATATCGATGGCGGACTGCCTACATTGTGATTGTACTGTCGCATTGGTCTTTTTCTTTTAGTCACAGAACCATTTCTACCTGCACAAACCATGCACTTCCTGCACCAGATCTGTCCTGCTTTTTTGTATAGAACTGCACAAAATATCGCGTATAACAATGTAATGTCTGACACTGAGGCTAATCGTATACTGAGAACTGCAATTAATAGTTAAAAATGACTCAATAACTTGAAGGACTTCCACCTAGTAAAAGTCAAACTTGGCTCGACTACTAACGGTCAACGAACTTCGTGTAATTGAGTCTAGGTAATACTCAGCGGTTTGGTTTCACTTAAAATGGCGGGTAGTTCTGCCGGTAAGGTAGAAATATTATTCAAAGTAACAGTGAATGCGTAATTGTTGTTACATACCGAAAAACGGCTTTAAAACTTGTAACATAAATCCGCAAATAGCGTCAGCGAAGCTTGGAAATACAATAACGAGAGAAAACTTAATTTAACACAGCGCCAGTATAGCCCAAAAATGGTCGACAAACTTGTCAAGTAAGCAATAGCGCGATCGTCTTGCAAGTAATAATCGAGAATGCGTCTTGTACATGGAGTGCGCCGGTCGGAAGAAATTAAAGAAAGTTCTGCGCGACCTCGAGCGACAATAGAATGAACGATTCAAAGAAATCTATCACAAGAAAACTAAATGAAACTAGTGAATTACAAAAAAAGTTAACTAGATGGCGTAAGGATTTAAACCGAGAAAGGGGTAAAAATCAAACGATACCGAAAATCGTCACAGAAGGTACACGAAATGCAAATGGCGATACCTACTTAAAATAAAAAGGAAGGACGCAAATTGTATCCGCACTATAGGAGTTATTCCCGCCTAATAATTACTTGGGAATCCCTACATTATGAATCCAATCGCCAGAGATCAATAATGGCAATTAAAAATTAAAAATCGTTTGTGTAAACGAAGTGTATCTCGATACGGCTCACGAGAGAAAATGGCCGATGTTTTGCTGGGTCTCCTTCTTCCTCTTTTTATCAGGAGACTAGATTTAAACGGCAAAGCGAGCTCCTGTTACGGTACCCCCTTCTGTTTTTTGAACTAACAAAGGTAACACTGTCCTGGCCCAGCATCTACTATTCGCCATAATTTGACAAATGAGATTTCATGAATGAACTTAAAGGTCGCTCCCTTACCCGTGTGGCCTTTTTACTTATGTGGACCGCACCTCTTTGAGCATACAGTATCATGGAAAGAGCCCACCCCTGATACTGCAACCTAGGAACGCCACTTACCATAGACACGCAGCGAAAAAGTGCTGGCCTTGACACGGGGGAAGCAGCCACCCAAAAATTGTACTGAAGACCCTAAAAACCCCTAAAAACAATAGTGTTCCCAATTCCCAAAAAATAAAAAATAAACAGCGACTATTTTTATCCTTGCTGAATTTTAAAGGGAAAGAAATGACTTACATCGTCTATTTCTGTTTCTGGAAATATTGCCGTTGCAGGTGTACTAACTCTAAGCACCCTTATCGTGGGTACATCATCCACGCCAAAACTGGCGAGCTAAAGCGGAGCTCGACGAGGTTCGACAGCAAGAGGCGCGTATGTCTGCTCCTTCCAGGACCAACTGAAGCACTCCTCGACATCGGCAGTGGACTGTTCAGATTTTCGGCGTTTTCCGCGGCCGTACAGAGGTGAGTTGAGACGGTTCGTTCCATCCCGGCACCGTTTTCGAGGCGACAACCCATCCCGGCGACCATTAGTATTCCGGCATTGGTCATCCCGGTGATTTATACCCGGCGACTATTACCCTATCCCTATACAGATTGTATTATATCTAGAAAGAAAAAAAATCACACTCTATACAATAACAAATATGAAAACTTAATTCCGGTGAATTGTTTCAATATAATAAACATGAATTAACGTCATATGTTTACCTCGTCTTAAATGTTTTCCATCCCCCCGCTGGGATGACTGTGGCCGGAGTTGACAACCTCAGGACCGAAACATCACCCTCACGTTACAGAATCGCCTCACTCCTGCCGCTCCAGGTTGATTTAATCAAGATACTAAAAAATTGCAAATGCAAAAGCGGGAGAGAATTAGTACTCGCTAGTTTAGCCATTGAGCTCGCTTTCGTCGAGCTGCTCAAGGAGTTGAATTTATCGTTAGACTACACGGCGGGGATGTCCATCGGGGAGTTATCCGCCGGTTACGCAAACGGGCGGATCAATTTCGAGCAGGCGGTCGCGGTCGGGTACGAAATTTCTCGGCTGGTAAGCGATGATCTACGTCTCGAGTACGTCTTAAGTGCCAAAAGCTTGGTGCTGTTGAGCCGGATACAAAAATGGACACCCAATCCGGAAGTGATCCTTCACAGTCTCCTAAATCCGAAACCTTTGGAGGAACGCTTGTTGCAACACAGTCGCTATCCCGAGCTAGCCGTTGTCGTGCTTGGTTCCGATCAGATTCGGCTGAGCGGTTTCGTTTCCTTGCACATTTCGAGCTCTGACGCCGTGACCTCATTCCTGGATGTGGTGGGAAAGTGAGTAGCGACGACGGCGCGTCTTCTCCTGCAGAGATCTCTTTCAGCCTGTACATGCTGGGTCACAATCTCAACGTGGAAGCTCTGTACCCGCCAGTGAAGTGGCCGGTTAGTCGCGGTACGCCCATGATCTCGCCACTAATTAAGTGGAACTACGACATAAATTGGTTCACACTGTTTTACAAGAAGACGGTTTTGCATCCGGGCCACCAAGTTATTTCTTTGGGCAATAAGGACATAGACTGGTCTATCTTACTAGGGCACGTCATTGATGGTAAGTCAGGCAGTTTCACTATCAATTCCTCTCCCGCTTAATTCTTCGATAGGATGCGCTTACAGTTTGAAGGCACTCCGCTACGCGTCGTGTCATTAAACTCGTAGCGCGTGCTTTACTCGTGATCTCCTAATACAATGTCTTTTAAAAATGATCGGATTATGGTCACAGAAACGCAAAAACCCGTGGACCCTATTCACAGCACCTTCTAGCATTTTATGCCCTTTTAAAACCTGAAGTTGCACGTGTTTAGGACTGACAATAATGCCTGCAACCGCATACCTGTTCATGATCTGGGAGACGTACTGTAAAATTGTGGACGTTCCAATGCTCAGCTCTCGGGTGCGCTTCGACAGCGTGCGATTCCATAAAGCCGTTCACATTTCCAAGTTATCGGAGATGGTATTCAAGATCACCATCGGTCGAGGAACCAACAGATTTGAGGTAAATGAATCTTCACCAACCCTCCTACTTTGTGCACTTTAGATCGGAGACGTCGAAGAAGTTATTGTCTCCGGAACCGTACGCACACTCTCAGAGACGGACGAATTCATTGACCTCGCCTTGTCAACTGAAGATGACGAAGGAATCTCCTTCACGTCAAAAGATATTTACAAAGAGCTACGCCTACGGGGTTACAATTACTCGTAAGTGACTTGGTGAAGGTGATGGTTTGTATTGAATTCTTCTAGAGGAGCGTTTCGCGCTCAGGAAACAGCCCATATATCCGGATCGATAAGCTGGATTAAATGGGAACGTAACTGGATCGCATTCATCGATAACATGCTGCAGACGAAACTTCTCGGAGAAGATACCCGAAGTCTGTACGTCCCCACGTTCATCGGCCAGTTGAAGATTGACGCCATGAAGCACTTCGAGTACGTTAAGCAGTTGGACAACCCATCTCTACTGCCTGTGTACAATCATCGCGAGGCGGATGCCATCAGGTGAGTTAGGCAGACTCTTCCGCGATGATTATAAAAAGTGGCGTAGCTGTGGAGGTATCGAGCTGCGGAAGCTTTACGCTACGCCGATCATGCGCCGTAAGGTAACGGCCGAGCCGGTCCTGGAGACGCACAAGTTCGTACCGTTTGACACCGAGCTGCCCATGCAATCTGCGGTGCGCGTCCTGGTGCAGATCTTCCTTGAGAACACACTGTCGCTGAAGGTTAAAATCGTGGAGGTCGCGAAAACTGGCGCGATTTCCCCAATCCTGCAAGAGGCTTTTAACGACCAGCCGCTGGTTAAAACTGAAATCACACTTTTGAGCGACGAAAACCTGACTGCCCCAAATCTGAAAGTCCACAACAAGACATTGTCCTCCGAGAAGCAATGCGAGATAGTCATTCTCGAGGGGGCATCAGGTAACCTTGAACTACTCCAGGAGGCTGAAGGCGTCCTCAAGGAGAACGGCATTATTATCTCAAGGGAGGGAGATGATCTTTCTCCAAATTTCCCTGGCCTCGCGCTTCTGGCGCAAGTAAAAACTGAAACGGAAACGCTAGTGTTGCTGAGGAAGGTTGTGAGCTACCGGAAAGAGCACGTGATCATGGCCAAGTTTGATGGTACAACTTACGACTGGTTGCCCAAACTTCAGAGTGCCATGCGCAATGAAACCAAAACGTTGGTGGTCGTCGAAAATGAGCCCCTAAGCGGCGTGCTCGGCTTTGTCAATTGTCTAAGACGCGAACCTGGAGGAATGAATGTGAAATGCGTCTTTGTTCAGGACGGGAACGTTAAATTTAACCTCTCCGATCCACTCTTCAGCGAACAGCTAAACAAAGACTTGGCGATTAACGTGTTGAAGCACGGCGCTTGGGGTACCTATCGCCATCTGCCTCTGGAGCGCTTGGAGGAGGTTGAAAGCCAGCACGTCTTCTGCAACCAGAACGTCGTGGGAAACATGTCGACGCTCGGCTGGGTCGAAGGACTACTCCCGCAGGAGAACGCTAAGGACCCCGAACGATCGGTCAAGGTTTGTACGAAGGTTCCACCAGGTGCTGGCTTAAGGGCTTGTCTAGGTATACGCCAGTTCCATCAACTTCATGAATATTATGTTGGCTTCCGGTCGTGTTCCTTCGGAGGCGTTCATAAAGGATCGGCTTGCTTTAACCACAGCGCAAGGTCTTGAGTACGCCGGAATAGATGCAACGTAAATTCAGTTACTGAGAGGACGATAAGGTTGGCACCCCCACTGTGCCCAAATCAAGTAAAAATATACCTATAATTTAGGACTAATTAGTACCCACAAAATTAGAATTTGTACTCGCTTAGTTCTACCAGAAAACCGATTTTTAAAGTGGGGGGTGCTAACTTGAACACCCGCACTGTTCCCCTTGACCTTTATGAGTATCCTCTTCTGACACTTTCCGAGATATTCGCTCTTAAAGATTTGACATGGATATATTTCATTCAAATGTACCAATCGCCCTTTGTGAGACATTTCATTAGAATACCATGAAAGATAAAATACACTTCTACCCCCATCCCCTCACCCCGTAACCTACTTATCTTAAAAAGGAGTCGCGGATGAAAGTTATAGTTTTTAAAAACCAATTCCTTTCGATAAGGCGTTCGATTAGAAAACCATGCATGTTACAATTTCCTCGTGGGTACAAACATTTATAACAGTCTACCTTTTTTTTGTAATAGTTAAGTCATATTTGTCACGCACAATTTATAACATAACACGAGAGGGAGCTTAATACTTATCACTTCGAATCGATGCTAGAACTGACTCGAACGTTCGAAACACAATTCGATTTGCTTACATAGCAAACACCGATCTTTTTCGAAAGTTCTCGAACGCTTCCGAATGCTCCCAAATATTTTAGAATGTTCTCGAACAAACACGCCATATTTCCCGGAAAAAATTCGTCACATACGCTTGCGTTTCTTATTGCAGATGACTAATCTTTTATGGATTTAGTTTTATGCTCCAAGTTGGGGTGTAACTTTTGATCTAGGTAGTCCAATCTTGGAACTGTTTGAAATTATGGATACTACGGGCCAAACTCTATAAGAAAATGTTTTTTCCCGGTCGATCTCAGACAATTTTTTTTCCGGGCTCAAAAAAAGTCAGTGTACAACCTTCCTTTTTTACCAAAAATCGACTGCTCCAAAATTTCTCGGGAAAACACTTTTTCTCACTAATTCTGGTGCGTAGAATCCAAAACGATTCGTACTTGTTCGATCAGGCGTCTCAATCAAAAGTTATGGACTAAACACAAATTTCGAAAAAAATATATATATATATATATATATATATATATATATATGATTTTTAAACGTCTGTCACCGTAATTTTCGCTTTACATTGGTTAGAACTGGCATGTAAACGCGTCGGTTGAGTAACCCGTTCTATTGTTACGTAATTTTCCAAATTTTGACAAACAAAAATTTATTATAAACGTCTGCCATTATAGCTATTTATGCAGGCGATACTTATGCCGATGGCAGGAGATGCCAAGGGCCTCCGGGGGTTCGAGGGATTGTAAGTCGTCCGAGCCACTCGAGTGTTAAATGTCGAGTAAAAGCCGATTCCCATTAGCGATCACGTCACGGTACGATCAATTATTGTAGCGTGTATGAACATGTTCTGACCTGGACCGATAATATCAATATGCCTTAATATAATAATTGACCGTACCACGAGTGGACCATGATCTGACCGTGACGGGGCCGATAATGTGAATCGGCCTTAATGCCTGAGGTGTATACAAAATTTTATTTCTCATAATTCCGAAGAAGGTATTTCCATAATATACAAATGTAATGATTATTGCTTGCACAACATAAAGTCCTTCATACGAATGAAATAGTATCTTTTTTAATACATTATATCTCCTTCAATATTTTTGACAGGACGTCTGTGGGCATAATGAGATGACAGTCCAGTATGCCCTTTCCATTACGCCCCAGGACGCCATGGACTACTTTATATATCTCATATCATATCTAGTGAACTGTGGATTTTTATCAAAGAACAAAAGCATTATCTTAAACATGCTCTTAAAACGACAAATCTTTCCTCATTTAACCGAATCTTTATGGTTTCTGAGATCCCAATGATTAAAATGAAGAAAAAACTCCCTCTATATATATTTTGGAACAAAAACATCCTCGTAACTTATTAAATGGATAAATATGAATCTAGAGGACTGAATCTGACATAAAACTATAAAAAAGTAAGACAACTTCCAAGAGAAAAATGAGCGTATAATCTTGAAGAGCTTTAACTTGTTTAATGTTAAATGTTTTTATCATTTTTACTATCTTTGTTTATGTGTATGAATATTCTAGAAATACCGATAGACATCGAGCCATTAAAGATTAGTCATCGACGCTAAGAAACGCAAGCGGATGTGACGCATTTTTTCCGGGAAATATGGCGTGTTTGTTCGAGAACATTCTAGAATATTCGGAAGCGTTCGAGACCAGCGTTTGCTATATAAGCAAATCGAATTGTGTTTGGAGTCAGTTCTAGCATCCAAGTGAAGTATTAAGCTCCCTCTCGTGTTATGTTATAAATTGTGAGTGATCAATATTAACTATTACAAAGTAATCCATTTCAAGACTGTTATAAATATCTGCAGAACGAAGTGTCGAAGGAAGGTACTTACAAAGGGAATATTTAGGCAAAGTGGGAGTGCCAACTTTATCGACCTGTTACTGAGTAAACCTGGTTGTAGCGTGTTATTGTAGAGGCGGCAGAGTAATGGGATTTGTACAGCGTGGCGCTATGGCTAGTTCCGTTGTCCCCGACGGTGAAATGATGTGGAGGATACCGGTTCAGTGGACTATGGCACAGGCCGTCAGTGTTCCGGTTACCTACTCGACGGTGTTGTGCAGTTTCTTCGTGGTAAGTGTCAGCGTATCTCTTCCGTCGTTTAGTAGGACGTGTTTTAAGAGTGCCCATCTTAAACCGGGACAAAGTCTCCTGATACACTCCGGTGCTGGAGGCGTAGGGCAGGCCGCCATCTACATAGCCTTGTTCTACAAGTGCAAAATATTTACAACCGTCGGTACCGAGGAGAAGAGGAAGTTCATCACGGAAACATTCCCAGAAATACCAGGTGAGCACGTAAACTGCTACAAAAGTAGTCATTCGGTCCGTAGCTAGCCACATCGGCAACTCTCGCGATACCTCCTTCGTGCAGATGGTTTTGAAGCAAACACAAGGAAGGGGAGTCGACTTGGTTTTAAACTCCCTGGCTGAAGAAAAACTGAAAGCGACGCTTCAGTGCCTTGCGCCGAAAGGATACTTCGTCGAGATAGGCAAATACGACTTGGTCAATAGCAGCAAACTTGCACTCTCTGTACTTAGCGAAGGGCGTAGGTATGCCGGCTGCATGTTGGATATGTACTTCAGGGACTTCCACAATCAAAAGCACACACTTCAACAAATTCTGAGTAAATTCCTGAAACAAGGGGCGGTTAGGCCTTTGTCCGTTACCACCTTCAACATGGACCAAGTCGAAGAAGCCTACCGTTACATGGCGGCAGGTAAACACATAGGAAAAGTCGTCGTAAAGATACGCGATGAAAACAAGCAATCGCGCGAACTATTCAGGGCTCTCCCTAGGTACATACAGATCCTATGCAAACGATCGCTAATGAAATGACCTACCATTCCAGATTCTCCTGCGACCCTTGCATGACGTACATCATTTTAGGCGGCTTGGGAGGCCTTGGACTGGAACTGGGTGATTGGCTTATACTAAGAGGTGCCCGCAATTTGGTTTTAGTCTCTAGGAATGGTGTCAGAAATGGCTACGCCGCGTCGAAACTTAGGTGAGTCAAACTGCGGTTAGCCCTTCACAGATATCTTCCCTTAGGGCTTGGAAAACGTATGAGGCTACCGTAAGGGTGGTCACAGAGGACGTCACCACCAAGGAAGGATGTGCGCAACTGCTGGAGAGGTCGGAGAAACTTGGGCCCGTAGCGGCGATCTTCAGTTTGGCGGTGGTACTTCGGGACGATCTCTTCGAGAACCAGACGGAGGAGAACTTCGTAGACGCGCTCTCGCCGAAGGCCCGTGCGACGCGGCACCTAGACGCCCTAAGCCGGCGGCTCTGCCCGCGCCTACAGTAAGCTACTCCAACCCGGTGCTTCGCACTGTACTAACCACCCCTTAGGCATTTCGTTGTATTCTCGTCGGTCTCGTGCGGAAGAGGCAATACAGGCCAGACCACTTACGGCATGGCCAACTCGATCATGGAAAGGATCTGCGAGCAAAGGAAACGTGAGGGGTACCCAGGTTTGGCAATACAATGGGGGGCGATAGAGGTGCGCCATTCGTCATCGTCAGAGTTCACCACGTACTATTTTAGGTCGGCATGAGTGAGAAAATGCAGGAACATGACAAAGAGATTGTGATCGGTGGCACACAGCAACAGCGTGTCTCGTCCTGTCTGAGCATCTTGGAAACCTTCCTCTTGCAAGACGAGCCCATAGTGGCCTGTATGGTGGTGGCGGAAAAAAAGAGCGTCGCCGAGGGCGCCGAAAGCGTCATCAGCGCGATCAAAAACATTATGGGTACGTTTACTTCTAGTACCACCTTCATCTCCCCGGCTTTGTTTAGGAATAACCGATATGACGACGATCAGCGAGCACGCCACCTTATCCGAAATGGGCATGGACTCCATGACCACGGTCGAAATAAAGCAGGCCCTCGAACGCGACTGTGAAATCTTCTTAAGCCCTAAAGAAATTCGAACCCTCACCTTCGCTAAACTAAAAGAGCGGTTATCCAAAGAAACACCAGACCACGGAGTTCCAACCCTCCCCGCACGCACAAACACCTTTTACACCCACTTCCGCACTGAGGAGGAATCCAGAATACCATTAAAGCAAATGGAAAGTTTAGTTAAGCAACAAGATCACGCGCCATTGGCAATCTTTCTGCCGGGAATTGAAGGAGTTGCCGAAAACATGGCGCCCTTGGCTAAAAAAGTTAAGGCTCAGGTGGAGTGTATCCAGTACGCAAACGCCGCCACTGATTTCAACTTAGAAGCCTTCGCTAAATCACTACCAATGGTAATTGTTTCCACCATTTCCCCTTACAAATCGAATTTTAGATAATACCCCACGTCGAACATCATTTTAACCTCGTAGCGTATTCGTATGGATGTGCTGTCGCGTTAGAGCTCGCTTCCATCTTAGAAGTCCGTGGATTGATCGGAAAAGTGATTTTAATCGACGGCGCACCGGAAATGCTAAAAAAACTCATAAGTCTGCAGTTGTGGTCTGAACACGAGTCGGAGGCCTCCTTGGAAACCGCCATACTGTTTAACCTAATCACCTCATACGCGCCCTTGGAGGTTACAGTAGCGCTTCGGGTAAGCTTTGTCGCAGCCCACGCACCATTTGATCGACTTGTCTTTAGGAAACCGTACGCCAGTTGCGCACGTTGGAGGAACGCGTCGAGTACTTACGCGACATGATACCCGAAGGCATTCCGCATTCGAAAAAATACCAAAAGCAAGTGGCCATCGCCGTCTGTGCGAGAATGAAAGCTCTATATAATTACGAGGCAAACTTTCCAAAGCTGAAGTCGGAGGTGACGCTGATCAAGCCGATCGATTCGCCTTTCGTAAACTACGACGAGGACTACGGACTGCAGAAGTTGTGCGAGGAACCCGTTCGAGTTCATACGATCGAAGGGACCCATGAAACCATCGTGCAGAATCCCGAACTTGCCGACTATATCAATAAGATAATTAACAATAAAGAGTAATAGTTCAGTTGTCGTTCGCTTATTTAATTACTGCTAAAACCTACCAAAACGTCACATCACTTTGAGGTACTTGTGTACCTAATTTGAGATAACTCAACTCGTTTTAAACTACATTCGTTTCCGCTTGTGTCTAAGAGTAGGGTATTTCACGAAAATCGCTAAAGAACGAATAGGTTGCGAATTTCGTGATCTGTAGGAGCTTTCAGAGTTTCTGTATACCAATCTGGAAAGGTTTTTAGACGTATTGAAACCTTCAGTGAACTGAACATTTTCCTGGTTAAACGAAACCGAAGATCTACTCTGTTTTCCACAAGTGATGTTTCAGGTTCGGCGTAGTGTCGGATTTATGGCTCAGTGGTAAGAGCATTGGGTTATAAATCCGAAGGTCGGGTGTTCGAACCTGGGTTGAGGTGAATTTTTCATCTGTGGCGGAGATGGAAATTACCTTAGACCAGTTCCGAGCATTCTACCGGCTACTCCGAATTAGGTTTTCCTAATTCGTAAGGTAAATACCGGAGTAGTATAGACCAACTTAAGACCTTCTGCAGAGGCACCTCTAAATAGCATTATGCGGGTCACTCTGTAATTGGGCGCATGCCTGTTGAGGGCCCAAAACAAGAGAGGGATAATAAAAAAAAAAAATAATAAAATAAATACTAAAATTTGATACTATCCTATTCCTGCACCGAGGGATTATAGCATACAGCAGCACTGAATTAAAAAAATCCCACAATTTATATTCAAATTAATGATAGTTGCATAGGTGTATTGTAAGTGAAAAATACCTCGACCAAATACGTGCTCTTAACTTATCTTACATAAGAAAATTAAAATTACACAATTTTGAAGAAATGGATCTGGCGAAACACATCAAACCCCTAGCATGGTGAGGCAGACTGGCCCAATTTGGAAAGAGAAAAATGCGTGACTTGCCTGGACTATCATGAGGGTGCCCTGGACGTCATTGACAGGAAAGACTTTGCAAACCAGAGACTTTGTCAGATAACGAACAAGATGAAAGAGTCAAAGCCTAATCACAAAAAGGCAAGTGTTTATTTCGTAAGGCGAATAGTATATGCAAAAATCCATGGATATCGAGCTTCAGTGACGGCAACAGTTTATCAAAAGATTTATGGATAAAGAAACAGCGCATATGCATGGAAGCGTTTAAAATTGATTTGAGGCGTCCCATCACAAAGATCAGCTGTTTAAGATAATCACAGAATTTTTTGCGTTTTCAGTTTGGATTTAATTGGAGAGGATGTTTCAACCCACGTTGCTAAAATTAGAATTTTGAAATGAGCTAAGCAATGGTTTAAAATCCAAGGAAGAAAATGAACTGCCTGGTTTACTCCTTGATTTGTTAAAGTTTTTGCAAATTTTACCCAGACGATTTCGAGAATTCAGATCTAGTTGGATGTTATTGGTCGAAAAAACGAAGAAAAAACTTTTGAATGAACTAGTGACCCAATTGTGATGTACGAAAGAAATTTCAGAGGTCACAGAGCAGCGCCACTGGAGAAGCACTGTTTTGTAAAAAACGGGAAAAATCCATAAACATACCAAAAATCAAAGAGGTCAAAAAGAAAATGAATATCTGTAATTATTGCAAAAACCAAAGGGAACATTGATAAAAAACGTGCAAAAAAGTGGATTGCGGATGGAACGACCACAGAAGAAAGTCATCAGACCAACGTCGTTGATTCCAATGTTAGCCCTTTTGTGGTGTGAGTGAAAGATATTCTTTCAAGTGAAAGAGACTTCATCAACGATCGCGGATCGAACAATGGAGCCACAAAAGCCTTGGGACGAATTCTTCCGGACCATTTTGTTGAGTTTCAAGAATTTCAATCAACCTGCGTCATAAAAGGCTGCTGGAAAAGGAAAGTGCTCAAAGCCATTGGAAAGGGAACAATATTGAAAATTTCTTCTTTCACTGAGAAAAAGCACTCTAAAATGATCATGACATGATGTGTGGTATGTTCCAAAGATTTCAAAGAAATCTTTTTTTCCTTGTTTTAACAGCTCCAAAGATAAAAATGAAACAGTAAACCTTCTACCCACTGTGACTCAAGTGCTGGTTAGAAGTGAATGACT